AAATTATGAATATTTTAAAAAGTATGTGAATCATAAAAATACCCAGTGGATTTTTACAATACAATAATTAAAAAGAAAAACTTACTAACAAAAAATTTGAAGTACTGTATTAATTGAGGACAATAAACTTTTCATAAGACAGAATATGATTATGGAACAATATAAATGTATGTGAAAACCATCCTTTCTTTTTTAAAACATTTAATATCACTGAAGCTTTCAACCTTCAATATTTAGTATGCAACACCCTAATTTTGTAACTTAGAATCTTCAAAAATTAGGGTAGAACAGTATTTACAATGTCAAGAATATTAAGAAAGTAATATTACATATCTTATTGGTTTTACCCATACTCTGAAACAGTGTCAAAACAAAACACTACATCACCATACAATTAGTAGAAATGACTAAACATGAATCATCTATGAATATATTAAAAAAGATATATAGTAGTGTTATATCAACACAGAACCTGTAGTGTTAAACATAGATTTTAATGAAAAAAGCATTATTGTTCTTTAGCTGAGGAAAGATTATGTGGGTATATCTGCGCTAAAGAAAATATTTCTAGGCTTCCTAGTATTGTTATTTAAAAAATGGTTGAATTAATTGAGCAAAAGTAGGTAAAAAATGAGCAAGAAAATCTGGTTTTCAGCTAAGCCTGAATCAATGAATAAACTGCAGAAGGAACCAGAAAAAATAACTTTATCTGATAGTGTATATGAAAACCAGTCAAGTCTTAAAGGGAAGACAATGCAGCAGTGGCCCTCAGAAGGTGACTAGGAGAGCTACACTGTTGAGAGGAACACATACGATCAAGTAGGACATGAGAGTGGAGGAAAAAGAGAAAAAGAAAAAGAAGAGGAAAGAAGGGAACCAGCAGTAATGAGAAACCAGAAAACGTGTGTTCATAGCCATACAATAAGATGCAGGGGAGATGAAAGGGCTTGCTTTGCAAATGTAAGGGGTTGAGTTTGAGTCTCAGGATCTACATTTAAAAATGAAGAAGGAAAGAAATGCCTGGCATGATGCCATATGTTTATATCAGAGCACTGGGGAGACGGAGACAGGTTAATCACTGACACTCACTGGCAAGCCCTCTACCTACTTGATGAGTTCAAGACCAGTGAGTGGGGCTATCTGAAGAAAAACAAAACAAAACAATGTAGCCAGCACCTTCTGAAATACAAACTGTGCTGGTCCTCTTGCTTCAGCATATATTTGTGTAAATGTGAACACACATACACACACACACACAAACTCTCTTGTGTATGTGGGCATGCACACAAACACAGGCACATACACACAGATAAAGACAGACATAGGCATCCACACATACAGACAGACAGAGAGGTCAATTTCTACTGGGCTTTCTTATGTAATAGCACAATTATGACCCAAGGATCTCTACACGCATCTTTGTCTCAACATCTTGTTAGGTAATTGACTGTCCCATTGGGAAAGTTCATTAGCAGAGTGTATGGTTATGTAACATAGAAAAGTTGTCGTCACTGGTGTTTGGTCAAAGCCGAAGAAAGATGGATGAAAAGTAAAAGAAAGGAAACACTTAGTCTATGTTACTAACTCAGTTTGGCAAATGAATGTTTTAAAAAATATTTTCATTAGAAAGACAAATATGTGTACAACCCAATGTGTAATCTTTATTGTACTTAACACACATAAAAATTTGTAGAAAAAATTGACAGATGAATAGGGGGTCTTTTAGGTATATTGCTTATTCTTGTTGTTTGGAACAATATATTCCAGGAAGATGAAGAAAAGAATTCTAAGCTCCTTTGTTCTTGACCTGACTAGTGAGAAACACAATGTTGAACATTACAAGCTGTCCCTCCAACAAGTGGTTCTATGGGTGGACCTACTGGTGTAGAAGTCCCCAAACTTCTGAGGGAAGAGAAATTTAAAACAGAATTTACTTACGAAGCACTACAGCTTCTAAGTGAATGCTGAATGCATAAGTCTTAATATTCTTGTGTAAGTAACCAGCAAGTGCTTTACTTTTCTGACACTGGATCAGAGTGTCCAAATCTTTACATAGACAGATAATATGTTAGGTTTCATAGACCACATGTTTTCTTTCACAACTATTAATTACTTCATTATAATCATATAGCCAAAGGCATTATGTAGATCAATGTGACTATATGTCAGTAAAGCTCTACCTCATTGTGTGTAAATTCCATTAACCATATAGACTTTCTAGGAAACCAAGACTACAAGGCTTTGATCTGCTTTTACCAAATCATAGTATTCTGTGCTTGTTTGATTATCAATGGGTTTTTTCCCAATTTATAAGATATATTTTTTTTTTCTCACTTACTGAAACCTACATTTTTTTCCACAGTGATTTTCTTTAGAATAGTTTGGCTCAAGTGTTCCCTGCAGTTACTGATTTTGTTTGTTGTCTTGTTAGTTTGTTTTGTTTTCTTTAAAGAAAGGTACACTGGATTTGTTTTTACATTAAGAAAATCCTTTTATGAAGAATTGATTTTAATTACTCTACTTTTCTTTGTCATAGTTTCTTTATATTGACTAAAGAGTAAATCATTGATATTTCATACCAGTAATATGAAATTCTTGCTGAAAGTGAGCATCATCAAAGACCTGCAGATGGCTAGCCATTATGGATAAGGATATAGGCTTCCTCCCACTGTCCTCTGTGGCATTGGCTGTATGATCTTTAACAAGTAGGTTTTCTCTCTGTTTCCTCAGCTATAACATGAGGAAAATGATCACTTCCAAATAGACTTGTTAAAAAGAGTCAGTATAATAATACAAAAGAACAATCATACATATCAGTATTTGTTAAGCACAAGACTCTATAGATAGGTACTATTAATATTCTACTATCAAAGTATCCCAAATGTTTTTATAAGTACAATCATTTCCCAAACTAGCAGAACTCTGAGACATAAATGCACTAACTAGTCCAGAAGGAGACTTGAAAATTCTGGGTCGTTTTTACTCCAATCATTTTTTTTCTCCACCCTAGGTCTCCTTATCTCCTTTCTGAATCGTTCTGACTTTCAGAAGCAGAACACCTGGCTAGGTCACCAGCAACACCCAAATTTTTGTTGCAGATCTTCCTACCTTGATAGCTATAGACAAATTACAGCTCTGAATTTCAGATTTCCAATTTGCAAAGCCAAGTTAATAAGATCAACATCAGAATGTACTTTAGAGAGATATAAGAATATCTTAGTTTTCAAATTTTGAGTGTATGGGAGAATTATCCCATACACAAATTTTGGTGATAAAGGGGCAGTGATATGAAAGTTTCAATTCTCATTTCCTCCCTTCTCTTCCTTACCAGGGGATCGACTCACCTATTCACTGAGTTTGGAAGAATATTGCATGCATGCATCATTTGGCCTTTTTTTTGTCAAAAGAATATGGAACAATATCCACAGTTACAATGATTTCCCTGTGACTTTGGAGTGTAAACACGGTGGTGGAATGCCCATTTAGTCATAGATCAAAGATGTCATCTCTAATTAGTTAGCATGCATTAGTCTCCATGACTCATGCCTGTTGGTTTAATTGAAAACTGGGCTATTGTTTAATCTACCTTTAAAACACTCACAGCATTAAATCTCACAATTCTTTATGTGACAGCATAAGAACAAATATTAAAATTGGAGTTATTTTAAGAGCTTTTTTGTTACAGTATAGCTAAACTGCCCTCTCCTCATTATGCCTTTTTGATTATAGTGTAGGAGAATCTTTTCTTCTCATTGTAACAGATGATGTAATATTTTTAAAGGTAGTGTAGGAAACCGCTTATCAATCATATCTTTCTTTCAGTTTTTGGCACTTCAATGACATCTTCTTAACCCAATGCCAACCACCTACACAAACATGTGCACAGTCACACAAACACACACACATACACATACACACACACACATACACATACACCCTCTTGACTTATCATTGACTATTAGAATGTGGGGATATCAAGGGATTTTTCTGTTTTCAAACCTTGTAAGCCTACCCATACTAACGATTTTTCCTTCTGCTCCAGTTCAAGAGTAGATCTGCCCTGGTTATTGCTTTATTCCGTGCTTTAAGTGATCCCTGTTCCCATATGATCAAACTTGATGCTGTTAGATGACGCCTTCGTTTAATCTTCTGATTTCCATCGAATCCAAAATTAAATGACTAACAAAACATATATCTTTGTCTGGCCTTTGAAGGGAATATTCAGATCTTATAGGACTTAAAGATGATAGTGAAAAATTATATTTTTGTCTAATATTAAAGTTGTCTAAAATGCCACATACTGGTTAAAATTAAATGACTGCCATAAAAACATTTTCAGGGTTAGTAACTTATTTTCCTGATGTTAAAATGAGACATTCAGATCAGTCAATGTCAACACACAAATAAAACGCATTACAAGCATAACCTCATGAGATTGGCTACAGAGAATAGAGCGGTCTATCCATATAGGCATGGAAAATACGGACATTGTCATTCTCACTATAGAGCCCCCACTTAAAACATTATGATGACATTTAAAGTTAAAAGTTCAGCAATTAGCAAATATTTTACTAACTCCCAGTGTTGAAGAAATAGAAATCTATCCATTCTCTATTTCTTTGCATAAATGTTTCCCTTTTAATATATAAATATATGTATACATATAACTTAATATCTAAATGATCAGAAATTACATATTGGCAAGCAAAAACACTACTGCAAAAATGTCCTCAACCTTTTTTTTTTCATTTTCTGTACAAAAGGCAGAAAAGTAGTTCTCTTTTACAAACTTCTTTTCTATGTATTCTCTCTACTAGCTGTGCTTAATCCACGTGTTCTAGACAGTTTGGTGTACATACAACTAACCAGTTGGTTGTTTACATACAGAACTTCATGTGGTTGTTCTGGTCTTGCTAAATCAATGCACACAGTGGTCCTTATGCATCAAAGGAATGGAAATGAAGGCAAAGTTTTGCTATTATTTGTTCACGGCCACTCACCTGCCCAGAAGCAGAAACTCTCCGGCTAGACCCAAGCGTCTCATGGCCATCAGCAGACCTCTCACAGTCATGCCTTCGCAGAAGCAGGCTACCACCCGGGCCTTGGGCAAATGACTTCTGAGCTTTTTCAACAGCTTGTCAAAGCTCTGCTCTCCAGCATTGCTGTAGATTTTATAAGAGTGGGCGATGCAAATCCCTTCCTTGGCTGACATATCTTTGAAAGCCTCCATCCCGCTTTCTCCATAATTGCCTGTATGAAAACAAACATAAAAAAGAGATATTGAATTGGTAGGAATGCATTTATTAATACAATAAGAATCTTTTCTATTAACTGAAATGTAGAACAACCTGTTTCAGTAATACATATATATGTGTACGTCCATTTCAGCGCTTAACTTATTCACATGATATATTGTTACCCATCTCCATCCATGTTGTCACTATAGCAGGGTTTTATTCTTCCTTATGGCTGAATAGTATTTGATTGTGTAGGAACCAAATGTTCATCAATAAAAGAACATGTAAGATGTTTTCATTTTTTAACAACATCAAGTACAGCCTCGGTGATCACGAATGGGCAGTTCACATCTGTCTGCTGTTTAATATGTACCCATACCTTAATATAAAATGATAGGAAGCATCCGCTGGCTGTTTTTATTCTATGCTCTCTCTTTCCCTCTTTGGTTGTCATTGGATGATCACTGTATCCCACTGCTGGGGTTTGAATATGGTTTATACTCCAAGGATCCTGTTTTGGGGCTCTGGTCTACAATGTGCTCACCCTGATGTGGTGGAAATTTTAAGTGGGCTGAAGAAAAGATGACCAGAACATCAGCAGTCATTCTCAGATGACTTCTGCTAGTAGGAGGGTAGGGCCTACCAGGGCAGATTAGTTTTCATTTCTCATGAGAAGGAAAAGTTTCGTTCTTACACAACATCTTGCCTTTTTGCATGTACACCAATTTCCTTTATCTCTCCCCATAATTTAATAATAAAACCAAACATTGCCACTATGCTATTTAGACTTCCAACTTAACCAAATTACTGATCCAAAAAAGCCTCTTTTTTACGTACATAATCCAGCATTAAGTATTCTCTTGTGGTAACACAAAATGTATCACAATTGGCCCTTAAGCCAAAGTATGTATATTAGTTTTATTCATAGTATACATATGCATATATTTAGATATACAGTGTGTACATACGAGCATATACAAAATACATACTATATAAATGATATTGGTGTGATAGAAATATTATAGAACATCTTAGTATATAAAATATTAGGGATACAGAAGCCCTTGTACTCCCCTTGTCCTCACAGAGAAGCACTAAGAGAACCAGCAATGTTAATCTCACAGAGGTGTCTCCTCAAGAGCAGAGATAAAATCAAATACCTGCACTCCATCTAGAAATCTGGAAGTGGAGGGAATTGACAGCTTGATGACCTTTTTGTTATCTGAAGGGACAGACTTCATCCCAATTCCCCAGAATGATCATCCCAGACTCTTTCCTCCCTAGCCATTACCCATCCTTGGATGTCACAAGTACTTATGGCTACTGACCACACTAGATTCTAGGCCTTTTAGCTATAGAAACAAACCTTGTGGTCACGTGTACTTTATAACAGAGTCACTGTGTGGTCACACCTTATGCTTTATTATGCTCCTGGAACTGGACAGATTGGACTGATTAGTACCTAGAAACTTTCCCCAATCATACTGTGTTTTAAATATACTGATAATGAATTGTCTGGCATTAGACCTTCTGAAGTCTGATCCAAGTTGATAAAGTCCAGGTTTACATTCTTGTCTCTCTATGTGTTTTTTTTTACCTCTGGGAAATATCCTCAATAAAAATGTGTATTTTATGTAATATATTAATTGTCATGAATTTATTACTTAGTATTCTAAAATGCAAAGGACCCAATATATTCTCAAGTAAGATTAATCCTGTTGCCCAGCGGTGGTGGCACACGCCTTTAATCCCAGCACTCGGGAGGCAGAGGCAGGCAGATCTCTTTGAGTTCGAGGCCAGCCTGGTCTACAAGAACTAGTTACAGGACAGCAACCAAAAGCTACGGAGAAACCCTGTCTCAAAAATCCAAAAAAAAATTAATCCTGTCATGAAAATGTATAAACTTATTTTTTAAAAAATCCAATTTTTATTCTATATAATCAAAGAGCAGTTAATGATATGAATAATTCAAAAATCCACTTTCATCCAAAATACAATTAGAGGTGAGAATATGTTCATCTTTTTCTTCTTTCTGCTTTTTATTTTTGAGACTTTATTATTACAATTTTCTCTTCCATTTTCCCCTCCAAATTTCCTCATAACACAACTTTCTTCAAATTTATGATTTCATTCCATCAATTTTTATTGCATACATATGTGTATTTTTATTTCTATATATTCCCAAATATAAACTATTGAGTCCATGTAATATTACTTGTACACATGTTGTCAGGGCTGACTGTTTAGCACGGGACAACCAATTGATATTCTCTTTCCTGTGGAGTGTTACCGCTTCTGCTCCCAGATTTGCTCAGTGTCCTGGAGTTCTTTGTGTCTGGTTGAGGCTTTGTAGGCTTTTCCATGTGACATTTGGCATCTTTTACAGTTGTTAAGAGGCCCTGCTGATCAGAGGCTGTGGTCTACCATAGCCTAGCAACTTTCTTTAAGCTTAGCAACATGGAAGACTTATTGCCCTCAGAAAAAAAGCTTCCTGCTCTCTACCTAGCTTTATCTGGAAGATGTCTCCTTGCCTAGGATGCCTGACTTATATCAAGGGTGACCCTTGACACAATTCCCTGCAAATAGTCTTTCCCTGATGATTCACGTGTTAATTAAGGAAGTGATATAGCGATTTTGATAGGGCCATGATTCCACTAATCCAGATACTTGATAGGAATGTGCCACCTAATTCAAATTAAGGTTTGTCCCCAGGGTCACCATATATATATATATATATATATATATATATGATATATTCCAAGATAAAGTTAAGGTGATTTACCCAAGTCTGTGTCCCTGAGTGTTATTTCCTTTGTACCCATGGCCATCTGCACCCTGTTTTCTGCCTCTGTTCTCTCTACCCTTCTGGACCAATGCAACCAACAATCCTGAAAATGGCTGAGGAAGTTGAGCTGCATAAAGTCAAAGGAAAAGGAAGATTAAGATTGTCAGTCATCTGTGAGAAGAATCACACCAGGGTTATTATATAAGTTATCCCATTGAATTCCGATAATATTTTTGAGGTGAATGTTATTACTGGCATCCCATACCCAACACAGTCAGTGCTGTCAAAGATCAGAGTTATAAATATGACTGGTATGTAAAGGCTGAGTTCCATGCAGCTCCAAAAGTAAAGATTCCTCTCACTTTGTTCTTCTATAATTGACCCCCAAGAACCTTAAAAGTTCAATTGCATAGGACAGATAGATTGACACGAAGAACACACGGGTATTATTACACAGCTGGGTTATAGAATATAAAAGTTTAACTAGCCTAAAATCAGGTAGACATAGGAGGTGGTATCTATCAAGAACAGCAAATATCAAGTAAATGAGAGCTATGAGGCACCCAGTTACAGAGCCCTGAGCTACACAAAGATAAAAGCCAGTAAACAGGTAGGTGGACAAGCCTGTGCTGGAGCACATATCTCAGTTCTGCTCCTGTGCTTTACCAACATACACGTGCCTTACTCAGATGAGCCCCTCAGATTTTCAGGATGCAATATTGTGTAGTTCTATCCATACACAGCATACAGGAGAACATGCTAGCTTGGCTCGCAGCCCAAACACTGATATGCAAACTGCGCGGATTTCTGTTTATCTCTAGAATTAGAAGCAATGAGAAACCTCTGTGATAGTGGCAGGTCAAATGTCCACACCTGTATTCTTCCATGTGATATTGCTACTCTCGAGCCAGACATTAGGATTACAATTAGTTCAGCTGCATATTTCTTCCAACCACACTTCTGTGCACCAGGAAATGTTTCCTTTGCAACTTATTTCTCAACCTACATATTATTTATCAAATGACTGCTGTGCCTGATTTCCAAATCAAGTAGAATCGTGGGTGATTTGGCACTTAAAGATTCAAGTCGTATCACTTTTAATAGTCAATATTTAATCCTAATTACATTCTTACAAAATATTCAGCGCTGAATTATAGCTTTATATACACAATGGTATGTATAATAAGAGGGGGATTTTGGAAAGAGTTGCTCCATCTTCTAAAGTTATCTTCTTAATGATGTCATTGATAGGCACAAAGAGACATGTGGGTTTTGACATTAGGACGTTCAGTGCATTTGTATTTTAATTGCCTTGTTAATGCAGTTTGAGTTTATATCTGCAGTTTGGAAAAATACTACCCTTTAAAAAAATATTTTGGAGACTTTTCCTCATTTCTCTCTCTGGATACTCTTCCCAGAGGAAAATGAAATGTTGAGACAGACACTGTGACCCAAATTCTCATTCTATAGAATTCACCTTCCTTAGGCTTTCTTTGTAGGCTGTCGGGTGCGCAGCTAAAGCCTGTAGAGCCCAGCTCATTAAGAGTGATTCTATTTGAATAGAAGGGAAAATCTTCATTGTGACAGTGTGTCAAGGGGTCGAGGGGATCTGGAAGGTATTTTGCCTCTTTTTTAAGTTCATTAGTTACCTCTAGTCCTTAATTCTAACTAGATCTAGTGACATGCAGAAATTGTCCTATCTTAGCTGAATGTGGAAAATCCTTCACAGCATAGCTAAGTCATCTCATGATTGACAACCTTTGCTGAAAAGAAGTCCGTTCTTTGACAGCAGCTCCCTAGTCTGACACCTTCTCCGGTTTAGACTTGCTTTGTGTAGATTTGTAATTTCCAGATTTCCTCAGGACTCAACTTTTTCTCATAACATGGAGAACAGGACTCACTTTGGGTTTAGGGATGAGCAAAATACATCGAAGTTGGTGGCATAGTTGTGTACTTGTTATCAGACTGAATTTTACTTAGGAATGAGTAGCTATGCTATTTTAGAGCCATGGCTTTAGGCTTCACATCTATTGTTCAAACCTGACCTGTCTCCTATGTGCTACTACTAGGTTAGCCTCTGAGAACATATGACCACTGAACATTTGACTTATGTCTAATCTAAAAAGCATAGTTCTTTCAGTTTAAAACACTACTTTTCAAACATATATAAAAGAAAAATACAGGTATCACATCAATATTTTATAATGTTTATGAAATGTCAAAATGAT